AACTGGCGCCTTACCTTATAAACAAAGGCGACAGTCAATGAGTCCAGGAATAAACAAACAAGGTAACAAAGGCAATAATGGAAACACAACTGGTAAAGTAGACTGGGAAACCGGGACTGAAGCTTCAGGATAATACTGGGTACCACGTGACACATACCCAGCATACCCTGCAATTTCACCACAATACACAGACTGTGTGTTTTGTTCTGACACATACATGACATATGTAGAAACTTGTAACGACAGCCTCAATAGACTAAGTGTATCCTACAAAATAATTTACATATAGGATCATAGGTCCAACAAAAGGTTCCATCTTCTAGGGGATTAATCTGTTAATTTGAGGTCCAAGCAAAAAATGTAACTATTGCATTTGATTTATTCACAGTTGAGGTACTATTCCAATTATTATATCCAGATTATAAAACATCAATCTTTTCAGCATTGTACTGTTGTATGTAATTTATTAAAAATTCATCAATGACATGTTTATTGTCATCCAATAGGAATATCACAATTAAAATGAAACATTTTATCTCATTTGGTTCAATAGCAGCCTGATATCAGGATATATAGAGTAGGTCAATAAGACACTGTATGTGTTAAAGTCTATTATGCAGTAATGAATGTGCTTAACACATGGTCTTTCGTATCGCTCTAAACATATATATACCATTTAACATACTCAGTAATACAAGTTGCCAAAACATGGACTTTTCAAGTGATATAATTGAATTCATTGTATTTAATGTCATCTAATTAAGGAATTGGTCCCTCTGTCCTAAACAATTGAAATATTAGCATGGGTTATGTAACTATTTTATAATAATCAAAATTTCGTTGTAGGAAACGCTTGTCAGGACACAAGACTGAAAAAGACGTACTGAAAAACTGCCTGTAAACACAGCTACCATTAAAGTCAATGGATTACCTAGGAACATCCAAGCAATATGATATCAGAGACTGGCAATGTGGCAGAAAAACCTAAATAAATATTGAAATGTTCAACTTCTTTGTTCATTGCTTTTTTCTCTTGTATTTAAATATCGCATGGAACTTTTCGCATGGTTTTTATATGATTTTCGCACGAAATTCATGCGAAAAGGCAATCGCATGAAAATCATGCGAGCCACTTTTCCCTGTGTATAATCCAACTGAGAAATTAATTTAAAGACCATTTTCGAGAAAATATACACGAAGAAAACGTGCCTTAACATGACGTCACAATGAGGCTACAGAGACAAAGATGCAACGATATAGGGCAATGAGAAATTCAAATACTGAATATATTTTATTTGCTTCCAAACAAATAAATATAAAATGCATGGTTACTGTCTTGAAATATAAGCGAGATTTGGGCGAGTGTAAGAAAACATGATAGAGAGCGAGGCGTGCTGTATTTTACCCGAGCTCAAATGTATTTTGTATATCCATTTAAACGTCCAAAACTACTAATTTTAGACAGATGTGGACACATCTCTGCAGTGGAAACTAATACACCATGGCGTTAACATAGCAATATACATAACGCCACAATGCTTTTCGAACGCCGGAATACATGCACGAGGCTTTATTAGGACAGTGACGGAATAAAGCTTTGGTTTATTAGGTTACCTTAATTAGGTCTATGCCAGGGGTAGTTGCAGGATAAAATGTAAATATAAGGAATGTTTTAAGTTTAGTATGAACTATTGGTGTGTGAATCACACAGACTTGCACATAGACATATTTTTTCATGAAGCGCTATTACGCCTCATAAAATATGCCCATGTGACAAGTCTGTTTGATTCATACACCAATATCTCACACAAAACTTTAAAACATTCCTTAAGTGAAAATCATAACATTAAAAACAATAGCACAATATGTTAAAACACGCTTATTTGGTCATTACATTTTGCGTTATTTAATTTGCATTGAAGTAAACACGAACTAAAATGCAATAACTCTTGTCATATTAATGCATTTAGGATGACCATATCTTGCATCATAAGATTTCTTCTATTACCTCTCCTGGTATTATGCTTGGCTCCGGTTTTGGGAAAATCGCAGTTGTAAAACAGGTTAATATAATGTTGGGAAAGACCTCGTAAAATTTGATAAAATCAATCTCGTTCTTCAATGAAGGAGATCTGGAGGCATTTGAGTTGACATAATAGTTGAAAAAACAAAAGGAAACATTTTGTGTAGTTGCGCTTTGGTCGTAAATGAACAACATGGGATGTATATGAGGTTATTCACAGATCTGTACACCATGGTGGCTCGTGCTGCTTTCCGCCTGATCTGGATCGTATGGAGATGCTTGGGCATTAGACTTCGAATTCTCTTCCTACTGTTATTGTTTACGCAAGTTTTATTTTCCGTGATGAAATATTTTCAAAATTTTCAAAGTAATGCATTACTAAAGCAATTGATTTTCAAGTCTGACAAAATCACAAGATTGTGCTTTAGATTTATAGCAAATCTTTTCTAGCAGGAAATAGTAGGATTATTCTTCCATAGCTTACCTTGCATCAGACAAGCTGATGAGGATATGTATAAGAACGATAGATCACTTTTCAAGAGAATAGGTTTTTCATTTTTGAAAATTTTCACAGATTGGATAATTTTTGCATATTATTTGAGAGGATGTTTTGACCTGTGTGCTTGATTTATGTCACAAATATGCGTAATTCCTAATTTTTCTGAACAGGCATCATCTGTTTTAATACCTGCCCACCCCTTATTGATGCAACAAAAAGGATTTAAAACCTTATTAGTAACAAGGATGGACTCTCTAAAACACGAAGTATCACAAACTATAGATATCTTCTCATCCTGTTTCTTTCCGAAAACGAAAGAAAAATATGTAACGAACTTTCTTAACACCCTTTATATAATTGCTGTTTATTTTACTACATATTATATATAACTCTGACATGATTTAAATTCCTTAAATGTTCATCGGTTAAGTAACAAGGATAGTAACGATTGAACTTTTTTACTCTTTAGTTCATCATGAAAAAAGGACAGAATAGATAAGGAAAACTGCACTATATGTAAGAGTAAAAACGCAATTCAGCCCTGTGAAAAAATGATATCTTGATTCATCAAGAAGACAGTTCATTATTTTTCTCATGTGTAAGGCATAATGCCCTTTAAAAATTCACGTATAGTCATTTTTTTTTAATTCCATGAACTTTGTCATGCATTTTTGTACTTGCCAAATCCTTTTACCATAAATAATTTTGTAGCTTCTGGCAATGTTTCCTTAAGATTTCATCTTTACGTTAAAGTATATAACAATATTTCAAATGCGATATGTATCCAAATTCAAATTGTGTCATACAGCGATGAAAGCAAACGTTCTGTTTTAAGTTCTTACCTGTTTTCCCAGTGTAACGTTACACTATTCAACTGAATAATCGATAATTGAAGAATGCTTTCTCTTCAAATACGTTCATATGGGTTCAAAAATCTTTGTAACATGACTAGGCTATCAACGCGTCGGTGGATCCAGCAATTAATTAAAGGTGATAAAATACCTAAAATAAGTGTGAGTAAAATAAGCTACTAGAAACAGGCAAAGACATATGAATAAGGTCAGCTACTACTAAGAGGAATAAAACAAAATTATATCTCCATTGCTTAGCTGCATTTTTGAAAATTTATTTAGCTGTTCAAATGATTGTGTAATTCTGATCAAATTGAATAAACTTTATGATCAATTAGACTAAAACAAAGCAAAAGAAAATCTTTCTAAATAAAATCCATTTAATATAAGAAATTTTTAGTGTACAGGACGACAATTATATAACTTTGATTCAGTCGTAGTGTATCAATAGTTCTTCCAGCGCAAATATAAACAGTAGAGATTTGTTAGTCCCACACCAGAAAAGAATGTTTATATTTGTTTTTTCATCGAAATATTACTAATATTTTCCACGTCTTTTTCATATTCCAGTTCTTAGGAGAAAAAATTCTAAGAACCATCCACATTTCTAAACTTGTGACATGATATTAAATCTTTTTCAAAGAAAAAAATTTATCATCTGTCCTTAAGTTGATTATATTATTGTGTAAAATTGTTTTGAGGTCACTTTTTATTTTAAGGGCCTTATAAAATGACATCATATAATGTTAGGGGTATCCCGGTAGGGAACATGCATCAGCTTAGCAACACTCTCAGAATCCTTGTAAATGTAACGTTATTTTTCTGTCACTGAAATTGTTATTTACAATTTTGAAACAACAAAGTCTGAGGTCAAAATTTTAGCTCATATTGCTTTAAAGCTCATGTACCCGGAAGTTATAAAACGAGAGTGAAAGCCAACGAGACTTACACACCCTATTAAAATGTGTTACTAGTACAGATTTATACAAATTTATATGTTGGGTAATTTTTTAAAGTACCAGTCCAAAAAACATTTTCATCAATCCTGAATGGCATAATCAGAAACCACCAAATAGAGAAATATTCCAGTATTTGAAATTCTTGTCTTTTCAAAGGATGGTGCGTTGCAAATTAAAGCCAAATGTAAAAACAATGCGAATTGTAATAACTGGGATTATTACATTTTGCATAATCACTAGTTGAGTCGAGATCAACGCAGAATGTTTTAACACAAAAATGATAAATATACTTTTGTTTAATTATTGCATTTTGTGTTATTAAATTTTGAGTCGTGATTATGGCAATTACAATATTTCAACCTTTTGATTCTTACATTTTTCTTATATTTTGCGTTATAAATTTTTGTTTTGAGGACGATGCAAAAATGTATTAAAACAAAATTTTTATTAATGAAAGCATTTTTGATATTCTTTATACAATAAATATTTAACCTGCTATATGTGATATTGTTACAACGCAAAAAAAAATAATGACGCAAAATGTACTTATAAATGACAATGTAACATTTTCAGTTATAACATTTATACATTATGTATAAATACAAAATCCATAACATACTTTTTTTCATTTTTTTTTTATCACAGGCTCTCTAGATTCGCCTGTGTGGCTATAGTATGTCAATTTATCTACAATTAGTTTTCAGAAAGCTCTCTCTCTATACATTTGTATACATAAATTGTATTATCATTGTCTGAACCAACCCACAGATGACGAGTTTTATTATCATAACTCAGGCTTCTTGGTCTGTGTATATCCTGTTGCAGTGTCTGTATCAGTGTTAAAAAGTGGCCCTCTTTGTCAATCATCTGAATACTGTTGCTGAACCAATCACACACCAGGATATGCGAAAGGGAGTTTGTACAGATTCCTTGTGGATAAAGTCGTGATCCTGATGGAGGACCTGTGTAGGAGAAGCGATGTTTATCTCCATCTTGTGTCACCACAACACCACGGAAATAGTCAGACACAATGACATCTCCGTTATTGTTTTCTGTGATGTATACAGGTCCTTTATACAGTTCCCGACCTGTGTTGTTGTTCTGCATTGTCTGTATGTGTTCTCTTTTGTCATTGTAACGGTTAACCTGGGCTGTCTTTGTATCGGAATTGAACATAGCGACCAGCAAGTCCCCGGTGGAGGGAGACCAGTAGACGCAACGTGGCACCCATGGTTTTGTTTTCTTTATCAGTGTAGACTTTGTTCTGTTATCTTTAGACAGTTTTCTGATGTTATAATCCTCGTCAATATAAATAAGATCACCTGCGTAGTTTACAGTGTGTAGTCCACAACTCCAGCTATACCTACCCATATCAGCCAAACGATTTAGCGTGACACCTTCTACGTTTGTTAAGATAAGATTGTATTTATCACTGATCCAGAATCGGTCAGATGTCACATGGGATATGTGTGTTATACCCCTAACTCCTTTCACTCCCACAGTTTTATATAACACGGGTGAGGATATCAGTTTTAGTAAACTTTCCTTTTTTATTTGTCTTTTTCTTGTCTCTCTCAGTTGGATTTGACCCAGTAACGTTATCAAGGCATATGAATCCGTGTTTATTTTGGCACAAAGGGGGACCAGGGCATGTTTTTGAAGATAAGTAGGTCCTGTTATTCTTTGGGAGAATGATTTCTTCAGGTACACGAGAAATTCTACAGGTTTGTTTGCTGAGTGTTCATATCTGTGTTCATAGTTCTCAATGCTGGCAAGGTGGCGGTTCATTGTTCGGATCTGGTGTTGCAATCTATAAATAAAACATTTACGTCTAATTTTAACATCACATATCACTGTGTCAAAGAGGTCCTTCAAATTTTGACCTTTTGCCGACATCTTTGTTTGGAAGTTGGAGATTACTTTGGGAAAGGTTTTTCGATCAGATCTGATTTCTGCAAGGAGAAAATAGCTCTTATATAAAGTTTCATTTCTAGTGATGAATAGAAATTCTTCACACTGTGGAAGCTTTGCTTCATATGCTAATCTTATGTCCAATCTTTCATGTTCCCTGTGTTCTGTACATTTGACACAGACAGGAATGTCACAAGAATAACAAAATTGACTATGAATTTTGTTTGGATGTTTCACACAACTCTCCTGTTTTTGAATAGAGTCATGTTTTTCTCGGAGAGCCACAACATCATGATATATAGTAGCTAGATCAGTAACATGTCTCTCTTTACACTGTAGACACAGGTCTTGTTTACAAGTGTTACAGTAGAATTCTGTGTCCCTATGACACTGAGAACATTGCCGTATCTTACACTGGGAGCTCGGTCCTAAACCCATGATTTAGAGGATCTTTTAGAACATAACCTCCTGAAAGAAATACAAAAAAGTCTTAATTAGTTAAAAGAAAGGTATGAGGAGTAATGATCCTTAGACAACCCGCACAACTGCTGTACAGATCAGGAAGACGGGGTATCCCCTAGTGAAAATAGTTTATAATAATATGGTTTTTGTAACAGTTGATAGGAAATATGCCATCCTAAATATGACTTATGAATGAGTTGTAGTTGGAATGTTGACTAAATAAATATTTACCAAATGCAGATACTATCAAAGTACTGAGAGTACTGATAGGCGGAAGCATGATTGCAAGTTGTCTTAAGGTAGGATTCTTCTCTGGTTTCTGACTAGATGAAACATTCAAAGTATATTTGCTTACATATCTTATATAATTAGATGTAAGGGATTTAAAAGACCATATTTTTCGTTCCTCATCACAATTGTGCAACTTAAAATAGAAATGGTAAACTGCGTTTGAAAACTAGCATGGACTATATTTTTGGCGGAATGATGGCGTATGAAAATATCTGCTTTTCTGTCTCTCAAAATTATAACAGAGCAATGAATTTAGTTAGAATTTTTATACAATCAAAGACTTGAAGAAATTTTCTAATGTAATTTAAATTAATAATAAGGGACTAAACTTTCAAAATATATAAAATAAATATGATTTTTCAAACAAACTAGAATTATGTTAGCTTTTAAACGCTTCCAATCAAAGTACAGATTTGAGCCAAAAATCCGTAAAAAGTATTATTTCTCTGTTAGTAAACGATCAAAACTTTTTGTTTTTGTATCATTTTGTATATCTATAAGACTACTTTATTATATGTGAAAATAAGAAAAAGTTAAATATAGGAAGCATATGAAAATAACCAATATATCCTAAAAAAAATACGAAAAACAGAGAAAATTCGGATTAGCCAAAATCCAGTTTAGTTAAAAAACTATTTATGAAAATTTGGTAATATCATGCTATAGACCCGATATAGTAATATATTTTTATGCAAAAAGAACAATCTTTAACCTTTTGAAATAGAAGTAGGCATCACATGATTTGCAACAGTATTTTTTATTCTAAATGTCAAGGGAAAAGATAATGACCTTCACCTGACCTTGCCTCTCATATAAAACGGTCAAATTTAATTTCACTGATACTATCACTTACTGATATTGTCTTCTTGATTCTGTGAAAATTTCATTGATTTTTAAATACAAGAAATATGAGAAGAATCCTCCCTTAAAGGGGGGGTATATATTTTGAAGGATTGTACTATTGAACCCAAGGAACAAAAAAATAAACAATGTCTCCCTTTTAAAGCGGAGACATGAGAATAGGTGAAGTCAATAGCAATATGAACACTTTAGCATGTATTTTTGTCAAAATATAACAAGTTAAAATCGAAATGCAAGCAGAAATACATTAAATTTGTAAGATATGGATTTTGGGAACAAGAAATGGATAATTATAAAATTTCACACAAAAATGAGTACTTTTGAGTAATACAAAACAATTAATATTTCAACTGCTTTTGGCTTTTTTTTTTGTGTATTAAGTTTTAGTACCAATGAAACAAAGTCTAGTTAAACAGCAAATTTAATAAAGATGCAACATACATAGAAGACCTTACATAGATTTACAATGTGCTTGTGGCACTATGAATTGTTTTCATTCAATACATATGACCCAGGTAGAACAAATCACAAGTCTCTAATGCTGGTGACAGGTGAACCCTGTGTCATGATGTCCACAATAATTGGAATATTTTTTTTCAGGAGAGCTTCTACCATGGTAGGCCCTTGAACGCCAGACAATTATTTTTATTTCTGTGGTAAATTTGTCTTTGATGAATGTAAAATATTGGTACATACATCCCAATATCAGTGGTGATTTCTTTTCTGGAGATTGTCTACACCATTCTCCTCAAAACTGTCTCTTGGCAGAATTTTCTACAAAGTGTGTAATTGAAAAAAAAATAAAAATATCTCATTATGTTTATTTAGCAAAAATTACTTTACAATTTATCAGACTTTCAATAGATGAAATCAAGGATTTCAAATAACCTTTTATGACATATTTTAATAAATATATTTTCTATTTACTAAAAATAGGTACGCAGTTACACGGATGTTTATTATTTCTTATTTCTAAGTACACATTTTTATCAAAAACCTATCAATAATAACTAAAAGATGCAAACGGTACTTAGCATGTCGTCATCTACAACTTACTGTAAAATACCCGTTATCGCCTCGATCTACATTCATACATTCATTCAGTGAAATCTGACATGCATAGAAATGCCGCTTTATCCACTTCAAGAGTGAATAAATATTTAGAAATAACAAAAGATTCAAAACTGCTGAAAGTCAATTTGCGTAGTAAGTTTAGTGTATGTATACTGGAAACAGCCAACAAATGAAATAATATAAGACCAACAACATCCTTCCTTTCTCTTTCGCTAGTTATATAACCTACATGTGTACACAGCAGTTTGTCAAATAGATCCTATTAAAACAACCTTTTTGTAATTTTGGGTGTATTAATTGTGCATTTGTGTTTTATTTGAAACTAACTTTAGTACCAAAAATTATTTCCGATGGAATTAATAATTATTTGTACATGTATTGCGTTGATACACATGATAACATCAGCTTTGTGGGTTAACAGAGCTTAACTAGGCTCAAGGTCAAACTTTTATCTACATTTTACCTTGTAATCGTGTATTCAATTGGGAAAAGTCAGAGTAAGCGATTATCAAATATTGACCGATTAGACTTCGCTGATATTTTCTAGTATTTTTTTCTCTCAAAAGCCAGCTATGATAGGTAATCATGTATTTGCATGAAAAAGATTAAATGTAGACATGAACAAGAAAGATATGGCGTAATTAAAGATTAAAGTTACTTTCATTGGTGTATTTGAATAAATGAAGTCAACAAAAATAAAAAAAAATGTCAAAATATACTTTCAAAAATAGTATTCGGTTCATTTTTGCCATCATAACAAGAACATTTGTTATGCTACCAAACATATATATCATACCTTATGAAAAATATTTCCACTTTAAATATAATTAAATTGATGTCCTCACTTTAAGAATAGTACGTGTTTCTGGTTGTGCTGAGTTGAGTTTTCTTCTGCCTATAAAGGTGACACAGAGCAAAATTTTCAGTACATATTTACCATGCAATCTTAATTATATCCCATTTTCTTTTAGTTGCCTCCGTAGGGACACATTTTTACAGATTAGAATACAATGTAGTTCTTATGCGTGTGTCAGTTTCTGTCCAAATTTAACAGCTTTGGCCCATCCTGGCATGATAATACCAAATAATTTCTCCTAGACATGAAATTATAAAGTACCACTTCGTTCGATAAGACCCGACCATCTGACCATAACAGCTATCATATTACCCTATCTAAAGTATGCCTGCATAGGGCATGTAGGGATGCGACATTTTCAAGTTAAAACAATAAAATATAAAGGTCACAATTAAAGATAGGCTAATCACACATCGTGAGTTATCTTGTTTATTTTGAAGAAAAGGCCTGCCACAACCATTGTAAATCATTTGTACTCCACGTGGGTTTGTTGACAGTAATTTTACGCTGAATCGTCTCATGTTAGATTATTACGCGAAAGTAGTACATATGTATACAATTGATAAAAAAAAGAGATAATACCTCCTTTCTTCTGTTATATACAAGATTATTGAAAAGATTAGTTCCTTGGTAGATATTTATCTGTCATTAATTCTTAAGATTAATTACCTACTTGAACTATTTTGTCCCTCGTCATATTTCTAAAGATCGCTTTTGGACCCCGTGCTAATCAAATGTTGAACCCGATTTGTTTATGTTTTAGAAATGCAGAGTTGTTCGTTCTTCTCTCAAACTTAAAACGTATCAGGAGTACTACAGCAACTATTCGTTCTATTATCATGTAATTGTTTTTATTTGACTTTTTCACATTAATCAAAATAAATTTTAAAAATAAATTCGTCATAACATTTGATTTTTGATATGATAATAACGATAAAGATTGGGAAGGGAGTCGAATATGATTTAGCAGGTTGTATTCCCTTAGTTTTTTTATACAGCCGTTTGGAGTACCATGAAACGGGCCAAAAATGAACTTTGACATCTTTAGAGGTCGAAGGTCAACAAAGCAAATGTAATAGGCGCTTCCGCTTAAAAATGAATTCCATAGTAACTAGAGCTAGAGTCGCAGATTAAGGAATTAATCCTAACGTCGTGGATTTGAATCTCTCTGTGGGACATGAAGACCGGTTCTAATAAACCGTATTAAGTGAGTTCCAGTGTAACAGCAGGCACTGGCACGAAAAAGATCTCTCCTTCATAAAGGAAAGGTCTTGATCTGAGTGCAGAGCATAGAAAAACAATTTCAGGTCTTCGACAGCAAGTGATGGTGTCTGATATTTGGGTGAGAAATGCTCGAGAGGGTCATTAAACAACAACAAAAGATATCATACAGTGTTTACAGATCCCTTGTATATTTGGATGGAGGGCTAGAAAAATCCAATTCCAGTTTGTTAGAAACAGAAAAACATTATAAGGGATTTGATATTTTTTAACGATTTTATTCTGTGAATATTTGTGATATTAGATGAACTTCAATGATAACGACAAGGATCATATTTGTACTTACATAAAGTTTTAACAAAATCTAGCCCAATGATATTTATACAAAATGTATTATTTATTTACCATTTACTTATTAAGGTCTTTCGTTTCCAACAGAAGACCTTTTATTGATTCTGATGAATAAGATTATTCTTATTATTCTTTTTTTTCCTTTTCCTAGACGCCAACTTTGAGGCCTCATATCTCATTCATTTCTCAATGTATTGCACTCATATTGCTAAGAGTTTATAGAAGTTGCCAAACTCTATTAGAATTCTGTTTAGCATTCTAAAAATTCACTTCCGCTTTTGAGTTATTTCCCTTTAAACGAAAATTCAAGGATTGAAGTAGTGCACATTG